CTGCCACCTCGCCAAGGCCGCGGGGCCGGGCGGCAGGGCGCCCCTGGCAGCGGGGGGCTGAGCGTGGGAGGCCCGCGCCCCGAGCGCCCCCCTCAGGCTCAGGCGCCCGAAGCGTCTCCCCGAGAAGGTCTGCATCCTCTCTGGGGGACACCCAGGGCCGACACTGCACCGTCTTTAACTAAGACCGTGTCGGTGGGTTTCTTTGACCTCGAGTTCAGCTGGGTCGAGGTGGGAAGAGGGGGGAGACGCCTGTGGGAACTCTGCGAGGTGCTCGGCTGGCGCCAGGGAGATCCCAGCTCGTCGCTGGGAACTAAAATACAAGCAGAGGAGAGTCTCTGTGGTCGTGGCCTTAATTCTCCCATGGCAGGCTGCAGGGGAAGAGAGCAATAGCAGCGTGCAGGGGGAGAGTGGGAAGACAGGGTGCAGGGAGGGACAGCGATGGCAGGGTGCAGGGGGAGAGAGGGAGGGCAAGGTGCAGGAGCAGAGAAGGACAGCTGGTTGCAGAGGGAGACAGGGATGACAGGATGCAGGGGGAGAGAGTAGAGGGCAGGGCGCAGAGGGAGAGAGTGATGGCAGGGTGCAGGGGGAGAGAGGGTCGTCAGGGTGCAGGGGGAGAGCAATGGCAGGATGCAGGAGAAGAGAAGGATGGCTGGTTGCAGGGGGAGAGAAGGTCGACAGGATGCAGGGAGAGAGAGGGAGGGCAGGGTGCAGAGGGAGAGGAGGGCAGGGCACAGAGGGAGAGAGTGATGGCAGGGTGCAGGGGGAGAGAACAATGGCAGGATGCAGAAGGATAGCCGAGCTGCCAGGGTCTCCTGGTCTTAGGAAACGCCAGAGCAACTCAAGGCGCTTGGCATTGATCTAAGGAATCATGCGTGCTATCAAGTCGGACTTGATTAAAGTTAAGTGTGTTTCTTGTTTCAGTCCTGAGGTTCTCGCCTCCATAGAACATGTCATCCAAGACATCATCACAAGCTTGGCCAGGAACGAAGCACCTGCGTTCACATTGGACGACAGAGCGAGCTGGGGAAATATGAAGTGGGCATCTTGCATGTTTATGCTAAACACACATCTGTGTTATCACTACTCGTGTTTATCTGAGTTCGAGTTCCATCAGATGTCATTCTTTTTATTGCCTTTATGCTGTCAGAAAAAGGATTTAGGAAGTTTATAAATTACAGACCATACAGGAAAGTACGTAAACTAGAAATTAGTGTGAAAGATGAGGCAAAGGAGAAGCAATGCTGGCCATGAAACACAGAGCACCAAAGAGGTCAGAATTCACAGTGCACGTAACAGTCTCATCATCTTGCTAAAAATAGGCAGGAAGTTTGAATCTGAGCTTCCCAACATTAGGAGAGGAGATATGATGGGTGCAATTCTCCCTTATTCAGTACTGCAACAGCAAACCACCTGCTCAGGCAAAGCAGAACCCATCCTGGTACCTGGACAGAAATAAAAATATCCAGAACGTAGAACACGTTTACACAGAGCACATTTACATAGACCACATTAACAGCTCTTTCTCCTGGCAGATCTACCCTGCTAAGACATGTGTCCAAGAAGGGTAAGGCCAGCAAACAGCTTTTTCAAAGTTCTTGAACCCAGTTATATTACTTTTTCCCAGCCTCTCATACTTTTTAAGAGTTATAGAAACCAAATAAATGTGGAGACTCCCTAGTCACTAAGCATTATTTTATGCAAAGTATAATTAATATAAGCTGTATGCTTCTGCATCACAGCTTGCAAGATGGATTTTGTGTAGCTTTGAAGCAGCTGACATCTGACATCTTTGCCTGGTGCCTTCTGCCACCTTTAGGAGAGGCTGGGCAGTTCAATTTTACAACCTAATGTTTTATGTCATGCAGGTAAACCAGAAGTCACATATTTCAAAACTTAATATTAAATTGAGTAAAATTATTAAATGAGTAAATTATTAAAATGAGTAAAATGCTAATAAAAACTTAAATAGGCTGGGCTCGGTGTTTCATGCCTATAATCCTAGCACTTTGGGAGGCTGAGGTGGGAGGATCATTTGAGTTCAGGAACTCAAGATCACCCTGGACAGCATAGTGAGACCTCTCTCTACAAAAAAAAGAATTTTTTTTAATTAGCTGCACATGGTGGTGTGTGCCTGTAGTCCCAGCAACTCAGGAAACTGAGGCAGAAGAATCCCCTGAACCAAGGAGCTCAAGTCTACCATAAGCTGTGATTGTGCCACTGCACTCCAGCTGGTTGACAGAGTGAGACCTTGACTCAAAACAAAACAAACAAAAAAAAATTGTGAAATATTTGAAAACATTTTACACACACAAAATATCCAGGAAAGAAGCACACTCACATACATGCTCACCCTAATCAAAGGTATTGACTCACTTATTAGTGCTTTATGTTAGTGCCTCTGTATGTCATAAACCTAATTACTTAGTTGCCACCTGGAATGACCTAGGCTTGCAAACCAGGTAATCCTGAAGCTTCAGTGCTCACATTGAGAAGTATAGGGTTTAAAAGCAGTGCAGAAGAGGACATGAAGTGCATATCGTTTGGTGTTCAGAAGTTGTCTTTTTCACTTTATTCCTTTGCTTTAAACAAAATAACAGGTTTGAAGATTCTGTGGGTCTTCAGATGGTATCTCACTGTACCACAAGAAAAATCAAAAGTGATTCACCAAAATCAGTTAAAAAATTTGGTAAATTAATCTTTCTTAGTTTTCAGTAATAATAAGTCAATGTGGTTATTGTCTAGATATTTTTTGTTCCCATTTAAATAATTGCACTTGCTCTTTAATAGACCACCCTGTACTTGAAAGTGATTCCTAGAAATTTTAATAACCATGGTAGATAATCATTTAAACATGTATTTTTCAAGGTACATGACTTGGAAAATTATCTTCTCAGTGTTGCTGTTCACAGAGTAACTAATTTTATCTGATTCTTCAAGCAATTATTCTGTACTTAATCCTTCTATTTTGGAAGATAGTTTGTAAATGTTATGGAAAGGAACTGACAGGAAGTTAAAATCCTTGATAACAGTATCTTTTGAATTAGATAAGTGACAAATAACTTGTTAATTGCATCTTGTTTTCCAGCGCTAATTCTTAAAATACTGTCCATGATTTATAAATTAGTACAAAGCAACACTTATGCAACCAAGAGGTAAATATGTTGTTTTAATAAATTACTCTTTAAAATGTAATGTGAGATTTAGTTGGATTGACTTTTATTACATGCTTTGAAAAGTTATGTAAGACTAAATTATGGCTAATAAATTGTTTTCTTTATATGTTGTGTTTTCATTCAGTTAAAGTTTTCTTCAAATACTCCAATACTTACCATATTTAAAGAGAATATTGTTAATTAAAATATGTATTTTAAATTTCCAGAGACATATATTACACTGACAGCCAACTCTTTGGTAACCAGACTGTTGTGGACAATATTATTAATGACATTTCTTGTATGTTAAAAGTACCAAGGAGGAGTCTACACATAGTAAGTAGTACTTAATACAAAACATTTTATTTTAAAACAAATGTTTGTATAAAATAAACGCAATGTTTGCCTTCTTTGACATTCTTTGATGCTATATTTTTCTCACTAGAAACTTAATTTGTTTTCAGTATATTTCTTTGGATGAGTGGAGACCAAAAATTTTTATTTCTATATACAACCCTTACATGTTTTTTCCTTCATCTCAAATTCCAATCTGAGCTTAAATACAAATAATTTAGCAGATGGACATGAAGAACAACTTAGCAGCATAGAACCTATTAGTGAAACAGGTGCAAATGTGTCTATTATTTTTCCAGTTATCTACATCCAAAGGGTTAGTTGCTGGCAATTTAAGATACACCGAGGAGGATGGCACCAGAGTGAACTGTACCTGCGGGGTCACAGTAAGCATTGGGCACGTGCTCACAGGCTTCACGCTTTTGGCCTCTTCGATTTTGAAATGTATTTTATTTCTTGCTTAGTTTATGCAATTCAGAGCTTAAGATTTTAAAATAAAACTGAACGATGTACTCTAATTGCCAAAGGTCATATTGAAACAAATATTTTGTATATAATCCTTTAAAAAATGTTCTGTTATCTCCCAGTAGAGTGTAGCTTGACCACTTTAGCATGGCTACTTAGTAACCTCTATAGGCATTTCTGGTTCTGCAAGTAATAGGTTTCATGCTAAGCCATCTGGGACACTCACTGTGCGTCATGTGTCTATTTTCTTATGGAGGTAAACCTGTTTCCTAGTATTACTAAGGAATAAGTTTCTGATCACTACTATAGTCAAAGAAAAATGAAAACAGGTTTTTTGTGATACGTTATAAAATGTGGTTATTTATACTTGCTTTTTATTTCAGATAAAAACTGTCTCTCTTTTTTTCCAACTTAGGCCATTGCTGTGCCATCTAATATTCAAGGAATTCGAAGTATCCTTTAAGTGGGAAAACTAAATGCTTGGAATGTTCATTCATTTATTCCTTTGATAAAACGTACAAGGAGCAAGTTAGGCCCAGTAGCAGTCAAGTTGAACACTCATGGTTCCTTCTTTAGGACTCTTAGGAGCTCACCATCTAGTGAGAGGGACCACTGTCTGAACATATGGATAGATATTTACTTCTATATTTGAAGATAAAAATGAAAATATTATGTTTATAGTTGCGTTTGAATTGACACCATGATTTAGTTGGTGATTAAACTGAAATACTCTTGCCTTCAATTTATTAGCCTTAACTTCACAGATTTAATTACAGATGCTAAATTTCTATTAATCATAGAAAAAGATGCGACATTTCAGCGACTCCTAGATGATAACTTTTGCAACAAAATGTCTCCGTGTATCATGGTGACGGTATATTATCTACCTTTTCACTACAATTCCAAGACTAACATATACTACCATGGTGATTACTAAGAGGATTTAGCATATTGTCTATATACAACATTCTGTTTTCAATATAATATATCATATGGAGATATAGAACAGGAATTTCCAAAGTGTTTATTAAACATCCTCAAATCTCGCCATCACCTCAAGTTCCTTTTTTCTTTCTTTTCTTTTTTTAATAGCGATAGGGTCTTGTTATATCACTCAGGCTGGAGTGCAGTGGCGTTATCATAGCTCACTGTAACTTTGACAAGTTCATATTTCTAAAACCACACTCAAGCCGGGCTTGGTGGCTCAGCCTGTAACCCCGTGCTTTGGGAGGCTGAGGTGAGTGGATTGCGTGAGCCCACAGGTTTGAGACCCGCCTAGGCAACTTGGCAAGACCTCCCATCTTTACAATAAGTCAAAAACTAGCCAGGTGTGGTAGCGCGCGCCTGTAGTTCCAGCTACTCGGAAGGCTGAGGCGGAAGGATCGCCGGGAGCGGTCACTGCACTCCAGTCTGGGTGACAGAGTGAGACTCCAACTCAAAAAACAAAAACAACAACAAAAAAATAAAACCACGCTCAAATTCTTTCTTCTCTGAAGTTTCATGTGTTCCTGTCAATTGTCCTGTAGCTATCAATGGTGACACTGCAGTAAGTCCCCACATCAGAGTCGGTTTGACTCACTCCTCCCATTTCTCTGTCACCAAGTCCTTCTGAATTACTCCCAGAATATCCTTCTTTCAACCCTTTCCCGATTATTTCACAACAAGCACCTGAGGCCTCCAGGCAGGCCCTGCTCCAGCCACTCTCACCCACCTTGTTGATGCGCTGGGGCTTCCTCTCCTCACCCGCATAAAAACATTTGTTTGTGCCTGGTATTTCTGCCCTAGATCTGGATGTCTCCCTGGGACTGGCCGTGCCTTCCAAGACCCAGGGTACTTCCTCCTCAGGGCAGCTCCCCACAGCTCCCACAAACACATCCCCCATTGACATCCCTAAAGAGAGGCTGGGAGCTAAGGGCCACTTTCACCAGATGTCCTTTGGTGCCATTTGACTCCTCTATCACGTTCGCGTGTTAACATTTCCCAAAGGAAAATTCATGACTGTTCACTAAGTACTTTCAATGGGCCAGGAACCCTCCTCAGCACTCTACAAAAGAAGAGTTCCCTTTCATTGCCACTTACCACATATCAGCTTGTGAAGATATGGCAGCCTTGTGAGGTGTAAGCACTAGCATGTCCCTAATTCTTACACGGCAGCCTTGTGAGGTGTAAGCACTAGCATGTCCCTAATTCTACCATGGGGTCTCAGGATGCAGAAAGGTATACCACAATCCTGTGGCTAAAAGCCAGACCTGGATACAGGGAACTGAGCTCCATGTTGCTATACTGTCCTAACTCCATGCAACAGGCACATCTTCCTGATTCTGTAGATAAAACTGTAGCCTGAGGAGGCTAAGGCGCGCGCCCAATGTCACACCACTAATGACGTCATACCACTAGTGACCAGCAGAGGGAATTCAGACTAGGGTTATCCTGCTCCAAGCCCATCTATCTGATCCTTCTGTGGACTCTGCTGTCTGCCTCTGCTTCATGCTTCAGTAGCTTCTCTGCTTTTCTCTCTTAATATTATTGTAACGCTCTTCAGGTTACTTTTCTACATAAATAGTGCTTTAATGACTTCTTAATATTATTCCACAGTTTAAGTTAGGTACTCTTCTAAGTGCTTTAGGATTATAAAATCATTTAATTCCTATAATAACTTCATACAGGTTACAGAGTTCTAGATCACAGAGTGGTTGTATTACTCAAATTCTTGCTGCTAAGAAGTGACAGAGTCAAGATGCCAGCCCAGGCGGTCTGGCACCATAGCTGGTGTACTTTCCCACTGTGCCATGCTGCCTTGCCACGTCCCTGTTGTTAGATATTTGGGCTATTTATATTTGTTCTTGCCATTTGAAATAACACTGCAGTGAGCAGCTTTAAGAATGTAGGATTTTTATTACTTCTGTTTTTGCTGAAATATTTCCTTAGGGTCATTTCCTAGGTCTGGGGTAACTCCTGGTCCTTCACCCTGTTGCATATGTTGTACGTTTTTTCACAGTTGACACCACTTACTCGGCCCCTGAAATTCACAGTAGGGGGATATAACTTTCTGTGTGTGCGGTGACTTGGATATGAACCGAGGTTGCTGTGGCCAGCAGTGCAGAGTGCTAACCGTTATGATAACGGCTGTAACTTTTAAATGACTCAAATAAATAAATGTGTGTTGGCATCACTTCATTCTACTGGAATCAAAATGCCTAATTTTCATCTTGCTTTTAGGGAAAGGGAGTTCCTGATCTGAACACAAGGCTTTTAGTCAAGAAGCTGTGGGATACGTTCCATATTCCCATTTTCACTCTTGTAGATGCTGATCCACATGGTAATTCCTCGCTGGACTACTTAGAACTACAGCCATAACTAAATCATACTTGAAGTTGTGGTTTCAACTCTCAGGACACTTTTCCAAAACATTTTAAACATAATTAGATTAAAATTAGGCCTATAATCACTTGAGGCAATTTATTATTTTTGTCATGTTAAACTGAGAACCATGAATTTTTTACTGTATGTCCACATAATGAAAATTGCAGATGTTAGATAGAATTTGAGAGTGCAAGTTGTCTAACCTGTAATATACAAGAAGATTAATTTTATCCTTAACTTTCTTTTTAACAGGCATAGAAATAATGTGCATCTATAAGTATGGCTCTATGGTAAGTATAGAAAGGTAGTTTTCCTCTCTGTACCCTGTAGATATTTAGATATTAGATATTTGTCTCAACAGTTCTGCATTTACCAACCCACCCACAGTAGGCTGAGAGTGCCCAGTAGGCTGAGAGTGTACCTGAGGGCCTCATGTCCTACACCAGGAGCAATCTGCATTTTGGCAGCCGTGATTCCAGTTTCCAGCGCAACCAATGCAACCACAGATGACAGAAGGGATTAGCTGTGGGCAAGAGGCATTATTATCCTGCGGAAGTAACTGTGGGGCCCAGCGTAACAGCACTGTCTGATCAACAAATAGATTCTAATTATTACACATAGCCTTGAAGTCTGACTTGCTAATCTTTTTTTCTCCACCATAAGGAGAAATGGAAACATCAAATTTCACGGCTAGAGTCTGCAATGTCCACATCAGTGGTTCTCACAGTGTGGCCCTGGGCCTCGACATTGCCTGGAACCTGTTAGAAATGCAAATCTCAGTCCCCACCCAACCTACTGAGCCAGACTCTCCAGGGCTGGGTCCCTCGGAGTGATCCCCAGCATGGTAGTTTAGAGCAAATAGAAAGGATGTTGGAGCAGGTTGTAAGACACGGACTCACAGATAATAAGTGCAGACCAGAGAGGTTCACTGAAAGCCCAGTTTAGCATGGTTCCCAATGATTTTCTGACTTCTGTGGGCTCTGGGCATGTGAAGTAGTTTTAGTACTTGTCCTTAATAAGTAAAAACTGTGACTGCAAAAACAAGTATGCTAGTTTCCTGCAATTTAGCCTCACCTAATATACTTTTGTTCTTTATTTTAGTCTATGTCTTTTGACGCTCATAATCTCACAGTTCCAGCTATTAGATGGCTTGGTCTCCTCCCTTCTGATCTTAAAAGGTTAGATGGTGTAGCAAAAATAGGGTATTTAAAATGATGGTTCATTGTCATGTGTAACAATCAGCCTAAAAAGTCAATACGAGAGAAAACTCTTAATGGTTTACTTATATTGTCCACTATGACTCAGGATTATGAATGCTTCTGTTTCCACTGCTAAAATACTTACATGAATTTGTCTAATTGTACTTCCAGCTAGCTAAAAATGTTTTTGTTCTACTCTTATGGTTAAAACACTTAATAGGATGGGGAAGCAGGATTGGCAGTAGTGGGAATCTGCCTGGGGAAGGGGGGCACACCTCATCAACAAGGGTACCTGCATAATGAACATTTGTATACCTAACCCTGAAATGTACCCCACATCTTTAAAATTAAAAAAAAATTTTATAAATTTTTATACTCAAAAGTATAATACATTGAATTTAATTAAACCGTAATCACTGACATCATTTGCCATAATGAGGGGAGACCCCCAAAAACCTGGAATTTATTTATAAAAAATTATGTAGTCTTACATGTTTAAACTTCAGTCATCTTCAAAGAATTCTCCATTTGATGCAATACACCTATCGAGATGCTTTTTCCACTGTTCAAAAGGTTTCGAACTCGTCAATTTTGGTGCCTTTTAGCGCTTCTGCTATTTTTTGTTTCACCTCTTTCACATTGGGAAAACATTTCCCTTTGAAGACATTTTTCAATTAGGGAAGCAAACAAACAAAAAGGCACTGAGGCAAGATCCTGTGAATAGGGAGGGTGGGGCATGGGGTTCATGTCGTTTTTTTGGTCAAAACTGCTGAACTCTCAACATGGTGTGGTAAGGTGCTCTCATAAATCACCCATCATAGAACAGGCAAATGCACTGAAAGAACCACCCCCCCAAAAAAAATTCACTGAAGTCGAACGCAGCCTCTCACAACAACACTAGCTCCTAGAACACTTACCTAGCATGGGAAGCCAGTATTACAAGCCCACCCTCCAAAAGATAATTCTGGGTTTTTTTCTGGACTTCCCTCGTAGATGTCAAATTTTAATTTCTGGCCAGGTGCAGTGGCTCACACCTGTAATCACAGTTCTCTGGGAGGCCAAGGCAGGAGGACTGCTTGAGCTCAAGAGTTTGAGACTAGCCTAGGCAAGACAGTGAGCCCTCATCTCTATACAAAATCAAAAAATTAGCTGGGTGTGGTGGTGTGCACCTATTGGGAGACTGAGGTGGAAGGATCACCTGAACCCAGGAGGTTGAGACTATGCTGAGCCATGATTGTACCACTGTACTCCAGCCCAGGTGACAGTGACTCAGACTAAAAAAAAAAAAAAAAAAGAATTCAAAAGAAAAATCTCATTTTCAGATTCTTAAAGTTTGGGAACTTCAAGTTTGGCAAGTTTGTTATGTATCTTCATTATAGAAAAACATACCATTAAAGTGACAAGATAGAAATCACCTACAGATGAACACCTTTACTTTCGTAAAATTTTTTTTGTGCATAGCCATAACTTTTCACAAAAATGGGATCATACTTTAATGCTATTTTGTAACCTGTTTTTTTTACACAACACAATGTGATCACTTTTCCATGTCAATAAATATGTTTTTCATTTTAATATCTTTTGTTCCTGAGTTCTGATTCTGGATGTGCCAGTGTTTATTCAGCCAATGTCTCAGAGCCGGACATTTAGGGGGTTTCCAGGTCTCTGTTCTGATAGATAGTGCTTGACCCACTTGTAACTAAATCTCTACCCACAACTTCAATTAGTCCCTTAGGCTAAATTCCGGAAGAATTGGTGGGTCAAAGAGTGTACACATCTTAAGGCTTTGACTGCCCTCTGGATAGGTTAATTATTTTCCTTTCCCTGGAGAGTAAGAGTTCACCTGTCCCTCAGCTTAGGACATCAAGACTTTTTTTCATTTCTGTTAATGTGATACTTTAAAGTGTTTTCTTATTGCTTTAATTGACTACTAAGAATGAATTTAATTGACTACTAAGAATGAATTTCTTTAAGCAGAAGCAATCGATAGCAGGAGTTGTTTCCTAAATACGAAATGTGAACAGAGATGGGGTGATCATCCACCTCTTACAAAACAAGGGTGCAAGTGGAAACATTTCATTTTTGATTTTTGAATATTGACACTGGTGAATTAAAGTGTTTAGTATGTCAAGGACAAAATCCCTTGGAGACCAATCTTTTTGTATGAGGACCTTTTTTTTTTTTTTTGAGTTGGAGTCTCACTCCTTCATTTAAGCTGGTGTGCAGTGTCACGCACGCTCACAACCACCCCAGCATCAAACTTCTGGGATCCAGCGATCCTTCTGCCTCAGCCTTCCGAGTACTGGAACTACAGATGTGTGCTACCGCACTTGGCTATTTTTTATTTTTTATTGTAGAGACGAGGGCTCGCCAAGTTGCCTGGGCTGGTCTTGAACCCACAGACTCAGGCAGTTCACTCGCCTCAGCCTCCCAAAGTGCTGGAATTACAGACTAAGCCACCGAGCCCAGCCGACCTTTTTAAAAAATGTATTTCATCTTTTCTATAGCTTTCAATTTTTAAAATTTCTATATTAGTTATTTTATTTATTTATTTTTTAATCGGAGTCTCACTCTGTCACCCAGGCTGGAGTGCAGTGGCATGCTCACGGCAAACGAAGCCTTGACCGGCTGGGCTCAGGAGATCCTTCCACCTCAGCCTTCTAAGTAGCTGGAACTATAGGTGCATGCCACCATGCCCGGATAATTTTTTAAAATTTATTTATTGTAGAGATGAGGTCTCACCAAACTGTCCAGGCTGATCTCGAATCCATGGGCTCAGGCAATCCTCTCACCTCGGCCTCCCAAATTTCTGGGATTATATGCCTGAGCCACCACGCCAGGCCTGAGGACCATTTTTAACAGAAATTCAGGACAAATTATCTGAGGGCTGAGATCACTGTGTCCTATAAATTCTATCAGTACCCTTGAAAGCCACTCCAGATGAAGATGGGATCAAAGGAAACACAGTCCTGTAGCTACACAAGCCTGGTTTCGAGGGAAATCCTTAGGCCTCCCTTTCAGTCAAACTGTCACCCATCCAAGAGCTGCCAATGGCAAATGGTCACAATTACGGGAACATTGAAAAAGACTTTTGAAATTGGAGCTCTCCTGGAAAATGTAGGATGTGCAATTTCACAAAGTAGACCATACATTTGGGACCTCGTGTTCTGTTTTAAAATACCTGCCATGATTAAGTTACATTCTAGGTGTTTCAAATTAAAAACTAGATAGGTGAGTGTGCGTGCATGTGTGTCTGTGCATGTGTAAAGTGATAGACTAACTTCCATAACCCAGAATCTTCCATGAATTATGAAGAATTAAGTCCTCTGTGGACCCTCATGTCACTTAGTGACCTTCAGCCGCTGGCCATGCATGTGGGAGCTCATTGCCTGGATGGGGAACTCTGAGAAGCTTAGTAGCATGTCACCAAGAAGACTGGTGTTCACAGACATGTCAGTGCTGTTGGCATTTGTTTAATAACCAGCGTCTGTCTTCCTGTCATCATCTCATGAGTGTAGCATGAAGGAAAACAAAAACTTATTTACTGAGAAACACAAACTTTCACTGTGAACTTGAAAACTTGCTGGGCTGGGACATAACAGAGCCCTCAAATCTTGGATGTGAGAGGCAGATCTGAACTCATTCTCTTATCTGTTATTTCTGAGTTTCTTGAAATAGGATAACAAATATATTTGGCAAAATCAGTGTTTTACTGATTTTTTACATCTACTTTTTCTAGGTTAAATATACCTAAAGATAGTTTGATTCCACTGACAAGACGGGACCAAACGAAACTTGACAGCATCCTGAAAAGACCTTATGTTACCTGCCAACCATACTGGAGAAAAGAAGTATGTTTCTTTAAAAACTCAAGTGTTGTATGTTTAACTGTTAGTGGTGACTATTCACATAGTATTTTGAAAATAATCCCTCTTGAAATGTTATGTGACAAACAACTAATGTCAGTGTTGTTTGGCAGTAAGTAGTTGGTGGCATGGAACCATATGGACCTAATAGACGAGCTCAGCTGAACAGAATTGGCCCGTTTGTATTCGTATCATAGTTAGAGACCCATTGTGAGTGGTAGCATCATGTTGTATGGGTAAGCAGAAGAAGAAACCCTCTAAAGACCTCAGACCATTCCTAGTTACTGAAGGCATCCACACTGGGTGTTCTCACGACTGACATTTTTAGCTGTAGCAGTGGAATCAAACTATCTTTAGGAATATTTAGTGTTGTCAGTGGAATCAAACTATCTTTAGGAATATTTAACCTGGAAAAAGTAGATTTTAAAAATCAGTAAAAAATTGTTCCAACAACTTGAATGTCATGTTTTGCCAAATATATTTATTGTCTATCAGCTCTAAAATCTTCTGGCTGACCCTCAAGACCATTGCTTGTGGTTTTGGAGAATAAAACAGTTCTAGATTTACGTGTGTTGAATTGACACATCCACAGCAAAGAACTCTGGTATGACTACATGTGCTTTTATTGACAGATGGAAATAATGGCAGACTCTAAAATGAAGGCAGAAATTCAAGCTTTGACCTTCCTATCATCAGATTATCTTTCCAGAGTGTACTTACCTAACAAATTAAAATTTGGAGGATGGATATAAAAATAAATCAGAAGAACTTGTGACTGTCAGGGGCTTTTTGTTTCATTTTAGTTGGTAAATATTATTGTGGAAAAAAACATATATTTTTAATTCTGTAAAGGTAAAATAAAATAATTTTCCATTAATTATATTTTTGTCAAAACAAATTCTATACTCAATTTTTTTATTCTAGAAGACTTTTTCTATCCTCTGTAGAGACTGGTTTCTAGCCTATGTTCTAAAGCGAATTCTAAAAGAATATATGTTATTTTGACTTTTAAATTGTATTTGATAATATCTTATACATGTCATCAAAGCCTACAAAAATATTTTATTTACCTTCTACAGAATAACTAGTGTTAAGGCATAAAATATTTTAATCTTAACAAAAAAGAATAATAGTGTCCAATAGTTCCCTCTTACATTTTCCTTTGCTTTCTTAGTGTAGGGGTCTTACTCCATTATTTATTTGTTAAATTAGTAAAATGTATTATGAATAAATATTTGGGTTGATGTAGCCTTTCGAGTTTTGCTTTATTTTGTATTGAACATACTTTTTATTGATAATATTCATTTGAGAAGTTTCTTTAAGATCTTGAATTCCTGTCCAGTTTAGATCTATAGAACAAAGCACTTCAGTTCTGAGGTTTACTACTTTAACCGTGAAGATGTGATCTTTCCCCTCATAAACCTGTCTTAATTTTGCCAGAGATGAGTTCTATGATTTTATTCTGTACTTTGAGTAAACTTTTAGCTGCACTGAAAGTTTGTTGTAATTGAAAGAAAGAATATGAATTTATAGAAGTACAGAAATGTCAGGTTAGTTTTATAAAGATAAATAGTAATAATAATAATAGATACCATTTCTGAGAATTGACATGTGCCAATTATTACTCATACAGTATCTCGTTTCACTCTCCCAAGAACCTTGTGATTACTTAGTAATTACATCATAGTTTACAGGTGTGACCAGAGAGGATGTTATTTGTCCAAAGACAAAATAATATAGGGGACAATAATACTATGTATCTTAAAAATATGCAAGTCCCAGTGCAAAATGAAATGTGGGACCCCTTGTTATAAAGAATCTCTAGACGACAGCAACAGGAAATGAAACCAAGCATGGGCCCTTCTTAGCCTGGGGTCCTGGGTGACTGCACAGGGTGTATAGCCATGAGGCTGGCTCTGTCCAAGAAATTGTAGTAGGATTAAGTAAGGTAATATAATTACAAAAGAAAATACTTACATAGCACTTATGATGTGCTAGGTACTTTTCTAGGTGCTTCGCAAACAATAGCTCATTTCATCTTCACAGAAACCCTACGAGCTAGGTACTTTTAAAAAATTATTCCCATTTTATAGATGAGAAAACAAAAGTACAGAGAAGTAAGTAACTTTCCCAAGGTAACATAAATAGTAAACAATGGAGGCAGACTTAAACCCGGAGTCTGGGTAGCACTGCATGGGGACATGGAAAGTGCTTCACATGTAATCTATGTGCACATGGCTGAGAAAAGCCTGTGAGTCTTATGATTGGCTAGTGTAATGTCAAGATCCCTCTGATGCCATACCTGCGGTATTAACAAGTATGCCATATTTCCTGGTCACACAGGACCCAAATATTTCATTTTGAAAACATTCTGGTATGCTGTTAATGTGACTTACTTGTGAGACTACCAAAAATTCTGAAAATATTTTTATAAATCACACAAGTTTTTGTATGAATTTATTCCATTTTTACTCCCTTAGCATTTAATAATGTTACTGAACTATGACAAGTTTTGTAAAGGAGGAAATTACTAACTTAAAAGTATGTTTAGTCTATAACACATGGGGGATTAGATAAACTATCAAATGTGAGAGGACAACAAATCTACAATTGGCATCCTAATGTAAAAACAAATTTGAAAAAGCTTTGCAGACATAGCCAGCTGTGATAATTAAGTCATCTCAAGCTTATTATTGGAAATCTACTTAGTTTCAATCTTTTGAGAAATGAAAACGGAAGGAGAGAAACATACACTACAGTTTGACTTTACTACCCCTCTTTCGTAGATGCAGATGAAAAATTAATGCTAGTAGCTATTTGAGAACCATCTAGAACTTGAATTCATGAGATTTGCTTCTAAAAAGGATTACTGGCCAGGTGCAGTGGCTCAACCTGTAATCCCAGCAACTTGGGAGGCCAAGGCGAGAGGATTGCCTGAGCCCAGAAGTACAAGACCAGCCTGGGCAACTTGGTGAGACTTTGTCTCTACAATAAATCTCAAAAACTAGCCAAGTGTGGTGGCATGCGTCTGTACTTCCAACTACCTGAAAGGCTGGAAGGATCACCTAAGGCCAGCAGGTCCAGGCTGTGGTGGCTGTGAGCATGCCACTGCACTACAGCCTGGGTGATAAGAGTGAGACTCCAACTCAAAAGAAAAAAAAAGGATTACTGGAAAATACAAAGCTATTTAAAATTGTGACTGATGGCAGTCATCAATCTCCCATCGTTTACTGCATCTAATTTGAATATTTCCATACTTTTAATGACAAAAGAACATTAAATTGGAATCTGTTCATAATTAAAGTGAATAAAGCTCTTCCCATCTTGAAAGATGGGGGGTGAAAAAGCTGAGTGGTCAGATACTAAGGACAAGAAACCTGAAGCCAAGAAAGCTGTTGCTGATGGCAAGGTGAAAAGGGTTAACCTAAATGCAAAAAGGCCCAAGAGGGCGAAGCCCTGCTGCTGCAGAATCCTGTCTTTGTAAGAAGAATTGGAAGGTATTCCCGATATACCATGTGTTCCAGAAAGGCCATGTACTAGAGGAAGTACTCAGCAGCTAAACCCAAGGTTGAAAGAAAAAAGAGAAGGTTCTTACAGCCATTAAAAAACCAACTGGAAGCCAGGCTCAGTGGCTCAGCCCGTAATCCCGCACTTTGGGAGGCTGAGGTGAGTAGATTGCCTGAGCCTGCAGGTTTGAGACCCGCCTGGGCAACTTGGTGAGACCTCATCTCTACAATAAATCAAAAATTAGCTGGGCGTGGTAGCACGCGCCTGTAGTTCCAGCTACTTGGAAGGCTGAGGCGGAAGGATCGCCAGAGCCATGCAGGTCGAGGCTGCGGTGGCCGGGAGCGGCCACTGCACTCCAGTCTGGACAACGGAGTGAGACTCCGACTCAAAAAAAACCCCAAAAACCAACTGGAGGCCAGGCGTGGTGGCTCAAGCCTATAATACCAGCAAAAGGATTGCCTGAGCCCGCAGGTTCAAGACCAGCCTGGGCAAAGTGGTGAGACCTCTTCTCTACAATAAATCAAAAAATTGACTGGGCATGATAGTGCATGCCTGTACTTCCCGCTACTTGGAAGGCTGAATCGGAAGGATTGCCTGAGCCCAGCAGGTTGAGGCTGGGGTGGCCGGGAGCATGCCACTGCACTCCAGCCTGGGAGACAAAGTGAGGCTCCAATTCAAAAAAATAAAAATAAAAAATCAGTTGGTGATAACTAGAACCGTGGTACCCAGGTGGTTAAATGTTGCAAACTGCCAACATATCAGCCTACTGAAGATGTGTCTCAAAGGCTTTTGAGGCACGGCAAAAAAACTCTCCTATCAGCATGTGAGAAAACTGCGAGCTGGCATCACTCCGAAGATCATCCTGACATCCTGACTGGGCACCACAGAGGCAAGAGGGTAGTTTTCCTGAAGCAGCCGGGCAGTGCTTGTGATTTGTGACTGGACCTCTGGTCCTCAATTCAGTTCCTCTGCAAAGAACATGCCAGACATCTGTCATCACCACCTCCACAAAAATTGATTGCAACAGTGTGAAAATCCCAAAACACCTTGCTGATACTGACTTCAAGAAAAGTCTGTGGAAGCCCAGATACCAGAACAGGAAGATCTTTGACAGGAAGAAAGAGAAATACGAGCAGCACAAGGTTGATCAGAAAACTGTGGACTCCCAAATGTCTCCAAGAATCAGCTGTTCCTCAGCTCCAGGGCTACCTGTGGTCTGTGTTGGCCCTTATGAATGGAGTTTATCCTCACAAATGGGTGTTCGAAATTTCTTAAAAAGCACCTACATTTGATAACTGTCATGAGGAAAAAAGGATTACTAGAAAATACAAAGCTATTTAAAATGGCGACTGATTTACTGTCTTAAATAAATGATACATTGATTCATGTTGAAAATAAATAATAAATAAAATGAATAAAAAGGTAGTACAACAAAAAGGTTTTCAGACTTTTTCCTTAAGACTCTTAATGAACTTTATACAATAAAAGCTGCTTGTACTACTCCCAGTTTTGTAGGAAATTTAATTATTGTTATTGGTGATATTAAGTGATTTCAGAAGTCATGATTTCTTGCGGGGAAAAAATAGTATACTTTCTAAAAAAAAAAATAGTCAAAACCCTCCAGGATTTCCTTTTAATTTCCTTACTAGGGTGATCCTTCTGCCTCAGCCTTCCAAGCAACCAGAACTACAGGTGTGTGCTACCACACCCAGTCCATTTTTTGATTTATTATGAAGACGAGGTCTTACCACATTGCTCAGGCTAGTCTCGAAGCCATGGGCTCAGGCAATTCACTCGCCTCGGCCTCCCAAAGTGCTGGGATTACAGGCTGAGCCATCGAGCACGGTCATACAGTATTTTCAATGGCATGTTTTTGTGATAAAATGTTGAGAAACATTGGTGTTTTTTGCTAAATGAACTTCTGTTCACCATTAAAGACATCGATCGCCAGAAAACCATCCTGCAAAGCAAGCCACCATCGCCCTCTGTCGGCAGCAGCTCATCGTTCTGACAAATCCTTCCACCAGCTGGAGTGAATTCTTTTTCTGAGTTGGAATCTCACTCTATCGCCCAGGCTGGAGTGCCAGTGTCGACCTACTGGGCTCCTGCAATCCTTCTGCCTCAGCCTTCCAAGTAGCCGCTAATATTTTTGATTTATTATAAAGGCGCACGCTACCGCGCCTGACTAATATTTTGATTTATTACAAAGACAAAGGCTCACCATGTTGCCCAGGCTGGTCTAGAACCCGCCGGCTCAGGCAATCCTCTTACCTCAGCCTCCCAAAGCGCTGGAATAACAGGCCTGAGTAACCACGCCTGGCCAAACATTTCTTTAAAGTATTTTCTTTTTCTTTTTTTCTTGAGTTGGATTTTCA